CAATCCTCGAGCCGCCGTACCTATAATCCCTTGCTCGGAGAGTGGCGTGTTGAACCTGAGCCCATCTTGAGTGAAGGAGACGAATTACGAACCTGCAGGATTCAAGGTAGACCCTTACAAATGTCACTGAGACACCCAGGGCGCTCTAGCAGTCGATCCAAAAACGAGCAACACGAAGACTCTTTATAGATCTTTATAGAGATTTGACACTGCTTTGTACAAAACGTTGAAATGTTCAAAACGATTCAAAACGTTGAAATCATGCGGATCGGCACATTGAAACTCCGCCCAGTCGTCACTCATGAGCCTCGGGTCAGAAGCCTTTCGGGGGGTCAGGGTCTGATACCTGCCATCATTCTCTCAAAGCCTTCTGCAATCCACATCATTGACTCTGGTACACCCCGCAAGTCGTCATACACGGCAGGTGACCTGGTCATGTAAACTCTACTGTACCAAGTAGAAAGTGATAGAAGGTGTGGAGGTGCCAATTTTTCATTGGATCTATCTGGATCTTCTAGGGAAAGGTCCTGGCATTTCCTGCACCCTGGGCACTCGGACACCCGGTCCTTCCCAAACCTGGCACGGCTCGCTCTGGGCTCGCTCTGGGCTGGTAAGGCAAGAGGTTCTTCATGGTTTTTCCTTGGCAAATCCCTTTTCGGATTCCCCAAGTCGATCTATGGGAACTCATATATTTGGGGAATTGGAATATAGGATTAAAGCCCGGGCCCCTGAAATCCAGGCGGGGCTTCAAGCGCTTCAACAGTCACCGCACCTTTTCTCAAGTGCTAAAATCAATGAGTATGGGAAAAAGCCACCCACATCGACTTCTCCGTAGTGTTCCGAAGGACAACAGCCACCCACATCTTCCTGAATGGACACGACCATGGAAGTGGGGCATGGCCTCGTGAAAGACCCGTGTTCAGAGCGAGCGTGAAACAGCTCTTCACGTGGGTGTGAACTCCATCGCCCCACGTACCGGCCCATCTGAGAGTCTGACTGCTCTCGCAAGTTCATGCTGCAGCCTGGAAGTCTTCAGATCTGATGAGACGAAACCGATGGACCCGGACTGCCGAAGCCGTCGGTCTCGGTGCATCCGCGAACGGAGCCGCCGGCGTTTCATGCAGCGCGGATCCCTGCGCCATGATGTCGCGCCAACGATGGTGACCTTGTTTTGAGTGTTTTCAATAGGGGGTTCTCGGAATGTGGGCGTCTGGAGTCTGGAGGTTATAACTATAATATTCATATATATATATACACCGAATCTTTCTGTTCAGCATAGTTAGCCACGATGCTCCAAACACTTTGATATATATTTGATTAGAAAAAATACAGTCCTTTGGTCGTTCTCACAAGGTGCGTTGTGAGACGTTGAAGTATGGGAGACCTTGGGACAAACTTTGACAGATTGAGTCACATCTCATTGGAGGTTGGCGATTCTCCCTTCACAAGCCACTTGCCATCCAGATCGAGTTTCTCTCGGTGCATTTCGAGATTCTAAGATGCTTCTGATTTGGGGTCGTACAACCAACTACCAGCAGTCAACCTCAGCCCACTTTCTTTCAGTTGGTCCCACTTTCAAAAGCCAACATGATACACCAAATCCACATTGAAAAACATGCTACGCAAATCTACACATCATTGATTGCCCGACCGTGTACTCTCCTAAGAACCTCGGCGAATAGCCGCTCAGTCCCCAATCACCGCATTCCGTTTCTTGTCCCGTCGTTCGTTGGTTTCCGCTCGGGTCTCCCGGCGGAAGACGCCGCCAAAGGCCACGTCCTCTCCGAAGAGCATTGCCTCCGCGTCTTCTCCGGGTCTCAAGAGAAAACATCCAGCGAAAGGTCTGGTTTCTGGCCTTGACAGGGTGCAAGAAGCTAAGGGTTTCGATGCTTCAAACATGTTCAAAACGTTCAAACAACATCAGGAAATGTGAAGATCTTGTGTGTGTGTGTGGCGTAAGTCTGTGTGCGCTTTCCTAGCAACCCTCCAAACCAAGTACCTGCAGTATATTATGGATGTAGAGTTCTCGGACATCGGATGTCGGCGCATGCATCTCGCGCGCCTTGTCGTTGGAGCTGAGGGCAATTTCCATGGCATTGTTGATCGCCTACGGAGCAAGTTTTACACATCGATTGCTGAACAAAACCCATCCTGTATCTCTCACCTTTCCTAACGTAGCAACCTGTGCAGGCGCAAAGTTTGACCAGCCAAGTGAAGTGACGTAACCCTGCATTGAGCACTCCAATTGAACCAACTGAAACATGAAAGGATTGTTCGTCAGGCTTCTTACAATTTAGAGGTGCATATGTTCGAAAGTCTTGACATGGGAGAGCTTTATGCCCACCAGGTTTCTCATTGGAGATAGGGCCACCTGACCACACACCAACCAATAATCAAAATTAACTCGAATCAGCTGGGTGGTTAGCCAACCCCAGAATTATCAGCGCAAAAATTGTTCGCAATGTGTGCAGCTGTGGTTCGCCCAATTACCACGGGGCTGCCCATCAAAGCTGACTTCGCACTTGCTCCCATGATCTCGATCAGATGACAAGCCAGGACACCGCCACACACCTGTGATGCCCCTTCTTGCAGAAACATGCCATAGTGAGGCTTTTGTTTGCCTTTATATAGCGGTCCACCTTCAGAAATGGTCCAGGATTTTATAAGCCACCCGGTCTGCGCGGCAACACGGGATAAAAGTTCAATCATGGTGACCTCAATGGGCTTGAAGGCTCCGATCTCGATGGGGATCTTCAAATCCCAGACAATTCATCTTGAAGTCGAATCTGTTAACTCGTTCTGCGTGGAACGCAAGGCCGAAGACATTGATCATAAGTGAAGCACGCAGCCCTTGAGAGCATCAGTCACCATCGAAGTGTGGCCTAACTGACAAGCGGGCAGTTTGGGCTTTGAAAGCTGACAGCTGCCGCCGCAATCTCTGAGCTGCTGCCAACAACCGTTAAGGTCAGGCCAACAGTTTCTCTCCAACCTCTAGAGGCTGCTGGGCTCGGTCACCTTCTCAAAACTCTTAAGTGCGAAACGCCAAGCTCTGGAGGCTGTTGCACCATCTGCGTCAGCTTCTCTGTGTTCTACCACTCGCGCATCGTCCACGGCCCTGATGTTCAAACCAGCCGCGCTTTTTGCCCTGTCGCCTGCCTGGGCAGTGAGCCTTCTTTCGCAATGCTTCGCGTCCATAATGAGAAGCACAAGGGTCCTTGCCAGTCGCTCATAGATGAATTACTGAATTCTTGGTGGATGGGTGATTGTTCCATGAACAAATGAGTCGGTGGGCGCGCACATTGATTCCCATGGCGAGAACCGACGCAGCCCGCAGAATGAACGATTAAAAACGGACGAAGGAACCAACCAACCAACCATGCACATTGATTCCCACGTTGGGTCGACACAGCGGCAAAGGCCTGCTCTACAAATGATGGCCCCAATCATGAGACTCATGTCTTTGTTAGTGTTCTCACCCACAACACTACTCGATTTGATCATGTGTTTGCAAGCAGCAACGCAAAACTGCAGGCGCAGCGACATCACCTTTCGAAAACTTTATTTTAGTTGTTTCTCTAATGAAGAATCACTATTCTAAAAAAAGGGCTGTGTAAAGGATGTTGTTCAAACTTTGATAGGAGCTTAATAAAGGATTTAAAGTGTGAAACAGCATAAAACTGTCCGAGGCGACTCTTCCCAGGTGTCCATCTTTGCGGGTCCCCCCATTTTGGGGACCCCCTGCTTTAAAAAACGCGCCCGAGGTTTGTTTTAATTAGCGTTGGTGCTTTCATAATATGGAAGGTATTACTTAGTTTGATCGCAAGATAGGGGAACTCCAACCACCTGCTACACACGCACAGACAGAAACACACACTTATGGATATGCGTACTGACTGACAGCGGTGCCACACGCCAGCCTGAGTAAAACCACCTAAGGTTCCAGGTAGTAAGTATGAGGCCTCCAAAACCTATGAACACGAGGTCGAACGGCGGCGACAGGGTGACGGCGGGTCGAGGTCCAAGCACTCCAAGGTGAATCGCCGCTGCATTAGACGCTTACTGCACAACAAAGAATGAGACAGCTTTGCGCTTACGTAGGTTCATCTCAAAGCAGGTACGTCAATCCGGCGTCCCGGATTGATTTCACACATGCAACACTGGCGTCTTCGTTGGTGCCAGTCCAGTGTGCATCCCTGGCACCCCCTGCTTAAAACAAAACAAAACAATTCAAAGGAAACCCTGTGACTACAAGGGGCACACACACACACACTGATCTAAGATGCAGGGGCTAGCCACCTGCAACACACGACCGTACAAGATGGAGGGGCAAGCAATCTGAAAGATGAAAACATCAAATATATACCGGGGCTAGCCACCTGCAACACACCACAACCATTTTCTTTCAAGATGAACGGGCCAGCCACCTGCAACATGTAAATATCAAATTTTCCAGGGCGAGCCACTGGCCAGCACAGAATCCCAAGATGCAGGAGCCAGCCCCCTGCAAGGTCAGATGGCTAGCCCCTGACTCTATGCTGAAGATGATGACAATGAGAAACCGGTTGGGCATAGAAACTCTACAGTGTCAAACCTTTGGATATATAATATGTACCTCTTTAAAAGAAAGAAACGCATCTCCGAGGGTCGAAGACTCCATTCTGCTTTGGCTTCACCACACAGATCCTGCGAATCGCAGGCTTCACCCTCCGGATCGCGCCTGAAACATGTTCATCTGCTTCTGCGTCGCAAACGCTCGGCCTCCGAGATTCGAACGGAAAGGGCGAGTTGCTTGGATGAGACAAATTGAATGCTTGGATGCAGCCTTCTGCACCCACTAAACATGAAAATCATCTTCCAACCAACGCCACTCACTGGGGCGGTCCTATGTGGCCTGCGCATAACACCAGATTTGCCTCGTTTTGGATCCGCTTTCTGCGGCTGCTGGATGCTTGTAGAACACAGCATCATTGACGCGATGACTCTCTTTTTCCGCGAAACCATCACTTCTTTTCAAGCGCCGAAAACCCACGCAAGTCGCCGGCCATTTGCCACTGCAGCTCTGATAAGACACCTCGGTCAACAGTGGGAATAGGTTGGCCGTTGACCTTTTCGTGGGTGATCAATCCAGACATCCAAAAGACCAAGGTCGAAAACCCCTGCAACTTGCAGAACTTCGGAATTTCCCAAAAATTCAAGGCTGCCCGAAAGTCAGCAATCAAAAAATAAAACAATCTCCAACGACTGCTTTTTCACTTCCACTTCGTCCTGTGACTGCGGCTTCAACATGCTTCAACCCCGGACTGCCCCAGACTCAAGTCCAACTCAGATCCCGGACTGCAAAGTGGCTGGGCCTTTTCGCTGAGCTCCCACCTCAGCTGTAGCCAGTTTAACAAAGAGGCAAGTCCAAGTGCAGAGCGCTGTGCGGTTTTGGGGTTAAAAAGAGTTGTTTCTGATTAGGTTGGAGTCGGAGGCCATCGCTTCTAGGTTGGAGGCCATCCCTTCTAGGTTGCAGGCCATCGCTTCTAGGTTGGAGGCCATCGCTTCTAGTGTGGAGGCCATGGCTACTAGGTTGGAGACCATCGCTTCAAGGTTGGAGGCCATCGCTATTGGTGGAGGCCATCATCATCGCTGCTAGGTTGGAGGCCATCGCTCTTACATCGCAGGCCATTGGGTTGGAGGGTTTAGAGTTTAGGGAGTCAAAATGAGTCAAGCCAGGGCGTGTTGAGTCAAATAGTTCCCCCAGGTTCCCCCACTAAACTGGTGCATGTCTGCGTATAGTTTGTGAACGATTCTTGGGAGCTTTGGTCACAGCGCTCCTATCACAAAAGCTCATCCCCAGAAATCTCACCGAGGGGGGCGTGCTTCTCCAGCAGCTATCATGCAACTGAATCAGCTTTCGTTTGTTCTTTCTTTCCCAGCCAAACATTCACAGAGCCAGGAGACGCAGTAGCTGCAAGGGTGGTGATCGTGACATCATCTTCAGTGTCGAAAATGTGTTGTGCATGTTGCCAGTGAAGCGCCTGGCCGGATGAGTGCGTTGTTCGATCTATATACTCATCTCAGATGGAGTGGAGGACTGTTGAGGTCTGAAAATGGTAGCTGTCCTTGTAAAGGAAGTTGTTTCGGGATACTATAACAAGCCTGACTAAGTGGTTGCTGTCTGGTATCCTGCAAAACAATGCCCTTCATTATAGTATGTTGTAGTTGCATGTCTCAGCACTTCTCTGCTTCTGGCACTTACACCTTCTCTTGCAGCTGTTCTTTATCTCTGGTGGGCACTCATCAGCGGTTGCTCAATTACCTACTAGAATCAAAACCACCTTCACGCGATGCCAATGGTATATTGTTAGACTATAGGCTAACTCGGGGTGAGTACAGTGCAACGAAGGCTGCAAAAAGGACCATGCTGCAATGCTGCACATGTGCTTTTGTTGTTGGACCATAAGGCTGCCAGCTCCATCCATGAGATACAGTACGAGTTGGGATTGGGTGGACAATCCAAGCGAGATCATTGAACTTCAGTTCCTGCAGGTAGAAAATTGACCCACACAGGGTGGCCCCCTTTTGAGGACCAAAGTGTGTAATCCCCACCAGGTGTACAGGTGACGAAGGCACTGTCCGCGGTGTGTTGGAGCTCCACAAGTAGATAGGCAGAAATGGTTTCCATCCCACCTTTAAACCATTCAGTATAATTCAGACCGCACGAAGGCAGTTGGGCAGAAATGGCCTTTGCGAGAACCGTCTTGCCGATCGGCCTTGACACAACTGCTGCCAGCGGTGTGCAGGGAGATGGTGGTGCTGTCAAGGCGCCTGAGGCGAGAAGCAGGGATTGGGAATGATTGGGACCTTCAGTCACCCCTCTAGTTCTGCAGCAGTTTGTTCATCAACTTCTCTACCCCCCCCAGAAAAAGGAGGGTTGCATTGTTGACCCCCCTAACATAGCCTGAAGAGGGGGCGAGTCTTGGATTCCAAACACTTGAAAGAAGCAAACAAAGAATGAGACCTGTCGTTGCACCATTAAAACACACACACAGGCTGAACAAATTGAAAACAACCATTGGTGCCCCAAGGGCTGGTGGATCCAAACGGCATCGACACACCGAGCAGCTCGTTCACGGTGGGAGTGTGGCAGGCACACTAACTAGATCACGCAATATCCATACGTCATCAAGACATATAGATCAACAACAATCAACATGAACTTCGAGCGCCACCTAGATGTGGTTTTGATAAATTGGCTGGCATCCAAACCTCCCTCAAGCAAACCACCAAACACCACCAACCAGGCCCTCAGGTTGGACGGCCACCAACCTGCAACAAAGCGCCCATCAATCGGCCCCGCATCGGGGCCTGCGCCCAAAATCACCCAACAACTTCAGCGCGACGGCCCAGAAGCCGCCCTTCCTCGGCCGTCCGGTCGGGGCGTGGTGGTTCAGCAGGACGGACCCGGATTCTTATATTTGGCAACAAATACCTAAATCAAAGCACTAAGACTATGAGGAACAACCAAAGCCAGCGGCCGAAATCGGAATTTCTGGCGAAATCAGGTTATGCGCAGGTGAAACCTCATGTTGACCTCGAAACAACCGCCCTCCTAGCATGGCCATGCCCGGATAGAAACAATCCCGGTCCCCGTAGCTTCTGGACAGAACAACCACCACAAGGGATGAAGAAATGGCAGCAATAATAGGTACAAATTGTTCAAACAAGCCCATGTATGTAAGCGTTCCAATCAGCCTCGTGGTATGCATGTGATACCCTGTGATTCTGTGGTGAAAAGCGAATGCTTGTCCCGTTTAACCCCTGTCTGCTCAAAGCTGTTTCGATGCCTCATCTGTCAAAAAACCTCTGCAATCGTATCCCGGTATATAAGTGTTTGGGGGGTCCTTTACATCTAAAGCCAAGTCAAAACACCATCAGTTTTCATAAGTGGTCAGTTTTGGGGGGAACTCTGACGAATGAGTGTCGCATCAGAATGACCGGCTTACTTGACCTCCACCGAATACCACATCAGTGGGGTGTGTTGGGGTCGGTGGTTCTGAACGCAGAACACAGCATCCAAGCAATGACAAGCCACTCGCAGACGTTCATGGCACTGTTGAGGGTGATGGTGTTGGGAGAAGTGGTAAACCTGGGTGCGTTTGTTTTCAAAATCCACACTGGCACTGGAGACTTAAGGTTTACACAAAAGGAGTTCCAGATTGAAGTTCTTCTATAAAGCTGGCGGGCTGGTCTTTCCAAGTCTCAAGCTCTTTCTCGAGGCAACCCCCCTCAAAAGACTCGATTGGCATTGAGCGGACCAGAACATGTTTATCATGGTTTTCCCTTGACCCACAAGGGGTGCCATTCTCGGGACATCTTTACAGCGTCCATACGGATGTTTCACTGCTGTGCAAAAAGGCTTTGGCCTCAGGTGACGTCAATAGAACCCACCCCATCTATGAAGTAGCATCAAGTATGTTTGCAAGTACAAGTGACGTCATATTTACCGTCTCAACTACCTTCCGATGACACGTTTTTGCGACGCCCTCGTGGGGCGGTACCCAAAAAACAACTAAGCGCTTCACCCACAACTCGTCTTGAAGAAAGAAGTCATGCACCAACACCCTCGGCAAAAGTTATGTTTGAGATTGTTTGAGTCATTGGTGGATTCCCATAAGCTGCGACCAGCCTGTGATTGCTACAACCACAGTCAAAACATATCAAACCTGATGTGGATTCCAGGCCCTGGCCCTGACCTCCAGGTCAACCAAGGTATCCTGGTGCCATGATGTGCCATGACGCATCCCCACGATGTGTTTTGCAGGATCTCATCCATGATCATCGCCCCATCCCCCATCCCGTGCTCTTGGCTTCGGAGCTCTGACATTGACTCGATGAGGCTCACCTTGGTACCAGGTGGGTCGGCCTTGGGAGGGGAGTTCGGCGTTGGAAATGTGTGAAGCACTTCAGACATGTCCCACACATCTGCTTTTCCAGCTTCGAAGGAGACCAATCAGCTGTCCTGTCCCGGCGTTGCTGTCCGGGCCAAAGTTTCATCACCGCGTGAGACAGGGGAGGTTTAGAATGGCGACACGCAGGTCGGAAGGAGACTGTTGTTTAGCTGAATTTCGAAAGGTGTGCCTTCAGTCACCAATCATCTGACCAACGCCATGTACCCACTTATAAGGTATAAGATATACCTGCCTGCGTAGGTTTGACAGGCTATTCTTGGCCCGGCGGCCCAGCTACTGTCTTCCGTTCACATTGAAGATGGGATACTGGCTGAAAATAGGATCAGTGCCCCATTCATCAGCTCAACCATCCAACCCACCGACCATCTTTCAACCTCTCATCGACCGCCCAGTCACCGCGACCCAGAGACGACCAGATTCGGCGCAAGCGCTGATGGCACTGTTCATGCTGACCTGCTTAAGCAGCTCTGCACCAGTGTCTTACCCTGAACATGGCCTCAAGAATAGTAGGCCCCCTCCATTTGAAGTGAAACCGGAAAGGTGTCCGTTAACGGAACCCCTGGAAGACATATTTCTCTTGCTGGGTGTTGTCTTGGGTATGCAATCAACACCCTATACACCTGGGTTGATGGACCCCAAAAGTCGCAAACCCGGCGGAAGGAGAGGAAGCGCACAATCTGAAAAACCCTTCAGGCAGGGATCATCCACCTTGGGCAGCCCTGGGACCCACAGTCCAAACACCCTGTAAGGGCTGGTAAGCAGACTACACTTCCATATCCTGTATTGTTTACAACCGGTACAAGCCTTATATATGTGTTTTTCTTGGGTTCACGACCCATCATCCCTGTACAGCCAAGAGAAACATCGATGTCCCTCGTGTCCATGAAAAACGTGCGGGAAGGGTGTCGCAGGCCCTTCCCAGGTCGCAGGCCGATGATCTACGATGCAGGTCGGCACTTGGTTTGAAGTGGAAAGCCCTGGGCGTTGAAAGAATGATTGTCTGCCATTGTTCAACTTTTGTGGGAGATTCTCGACGTTTGGGGTCAGTTTTTGGGAGGGTAGCCTTTTCAGTGCGAACCGTTTTGGAGCACATGGAATTGATACAGTATTTATATAAGCAAATTTATTGTGTATATAATATATATATACAATATAAATAGTATAAATACTGTATTCTGATTCTTGATGAAGTTTAGAATTCCTGAGGACAGTCACCTTGTGCCTTTCTGTCTACTCACGACCGCCGGTTTTTGGTAACGCCTCCAACTTCACACCAAATGTGCATTTTCGTGGACGGATGAAGGCATGAGATGCTTGCAACCAATTCAACGAGAAGGGACAGCACGCGTTGCTTTTGTCAAGATATCAAACCAGAGTGGAAGCAAACCACTTTTAGTACCCAGGTCCCCTCCTCCCAAACAAACAAAAGCTGGGAGGCTGTGTCTGGCCAAAGGTGTTCGGAAGCCATGGTGGACAGCAACGCCAAAGCCATAGGCCACTCACTGCCTGGAAAACTCACTAGCCTTTTTCAATTTCAAGGCTTACTTTGCTCTAGCACACCCCATAAGCCAACACTGTGTCCAGTTTCCAGCTTCTATGGCATGTCTGGGGTCACGTCTCAGGACGTTTTATCGGTTTTACCTGCATCGTCTCAGTATGTCTTTCTGTTTTTCCCAAACGGGTTGCTTGCAACCATGGGATTCTTGCAGTAGGTGTAAGGGAGACTGGATTCGTCACCAGTTTATTTGCGTTGTCGTGTCTGCAAAAAGACGTAAAAAGTTGTCCTCATGGCCGTATACTATATGTTCAGTGTGTAATTGTCCATTTGGTAATATACTGCGTATGGTGTATATAATATGGAAATATATACTGTAATATACAGTGTAATATGGTAATTGTTCCTTGGTGGTCCTAGGTCGTGGCTGTTTCACGATTGTGCTCCGGTTGCGGTTTACGTGTTCGGATTCGGTGGTGAATGAAAACAAGAACGCGGCGCCGATTCGTTTGGCGACGAAACCAAACGACGAGAACGACTGAAGTCTGTGCGTGTTCCACGATGTTCCACGGATATCGAATGACAAGTCGTTTCGATTGGGTCGTGGGAGCGTTTCGAATCCGATTCACTCGGGAAAACACCACCTACTTTGTCTTTCTTTGAAGGTCTGGCTTATGCATAGTCTGCTCTGAGCAAATGGCATTCAACGTTGCTGTGCCTTGGGTGCAGGCGCTGATGGCGCTATTGAAGGTGATGACGTTGGCTTCAATCTCAGCCTGAGCTGTTCAAGTCAATGAAAGATATGAAAGGACTTTTTGATCAGTTCTTTGGTGGAACCTAAACCAGGTCCAAACGGTTCAGCTCATGTTGGCACGTCCGTTCAGCGGTTCAGCTCTTGGTGTTTTTTCATCCAGCGGTTCGGCCTCACCCATCATCACCAGCAACTGCAAGGCCATCTGCCATTGTCCAGCCTGCACTCACCAGAGGAGAGATTCTCACCACAGGAGAGCATTCTTGATCTTGTGTTTGGACACAGCACCCAATGGTACTCGAGAGTTTCCGAGGCACATGTTGGTTCAGCCCTCACAAGGATGTTGGGACTACAGGATCTTCTCGACACCCTAATTATACATTTAGAACAGGTATATGTATACGTCCTCAAGGCCTCAAGGTTTAAAAAGACATGCCAACACTTTGGGGAATCTTCCAGTTCTCTGCGAAACGCTTCAGCATGAACACACACTCAAAGATTCCAAAAAACTACAGTATTTTTTTATTTGTAATCTGACTTCCCGTTGATGATCCGTTTACCGCTCCAATCAATGAGCACGGTGAGTAGCAAGAACATGACTTGGAGATACTTGAAGACGGAGGAACCTGAAGCCTGAGCGCGACATCTCTTCAAACATCTTCAAACTCAACCCAAATTCATTGATGATGTCTTCATCTGTCTTCTGTCTTCTGTTATAACAACCAAGGGTCTGCAATCATCATGAAAGGATTGCATTTCAGCCCGTAAATAGCTGCAGTCACTTGTATATAGCACACTAAGTCATTTGCCCAGACCTGAACCTAAGAACAGAACGAAACAGGATCCTACAAACAAAGGCGAAAGAAGCTCAGAAATATGGTATGTGTGTATATATATAATATATATATATATATACAAATGCACATCCAAACTGACAATACCTCCCAGCAGAGAGAAACAAACCTGAAGCAGTACATGCCCAAACTATAAAACAAAAAGATGACGAATAGTGACAAGTGAGTAAGAAACAACGCGGCTATCAGCCACCCCTAGTAGCTGTTCCAAAGTTGGTTGGGGCAAAAACTTGATGCCATTGTTACTAGTAGCTTCTTGTTCCTAGTAGTAATGCCAGGAGCTACGTTCGTAGCGTCCTTGTTACTAGCAGCTAGGTCTTCAGCCTTCAGACCGATTTCGCACCGCGCCTTTTCACAAGTGCCGATGGCAGCACCGAAGCTGGCCACTGTCTGAGGGAGGTCGAGCGGTCGATCCGCGGTCGGACAGGGGAACCCTCTATCCGAGCGATCGGCAAAACATCAATTGGATTAGCTAAAGTTATCGTTTTGGGCGGTTCACTATATCGTTTTCCAATCTGGGTAGGACACCGGCCCCAGGCGAAAAATATTAGCAAGTTCATGGGCTTGGGAGATTCATTAGGGGCAACCTGATATATATATATACATATCTATATATGTGTCAATACATCATTATATATATATATATACGCAAAGTTGGCAGCGGTCGCTGGCGGCAGGGCAGCCGCTGCGCCATGTACCTGCCCAGTGGGCAACATGCAAAGACTGATGCTGCATGCGTGTGTGACAAAAAATGCTGACTCCATCAGCATCTATCTCTTTCTGACTCTCTCTGTTCTTTTCTCTCTCTCTCTCTCTCTCCCTCTCTGCTTGCTCGCGGTCTTTGTCTTCTGTCTCCCTCTTTCTCTGCCTCTGTTTCTTTCTGTCTTTCCTTCCCTCTTTCTTTCTTTTCTTTTCTTTTCATGTTCTTTCCTTTCTTTCTTTCCTTCCTCTTGTTCTTTCGTTCATTCTGTTTTCTTAGGTACTTTTCTGTTTCTTTACCCTTTCTTGCCTTCTGTCCTTTCTTTCTTTTCCTTGCTTTCTTTCCAAACCAAACATGCCTTGTCTTTTCTGACCTTTTCCTTGCTTTCTGTCATCTTCTGTCCCTCTCTCTCTCTGTCTCTCTCTCTCTGAGAAACGCTCGGTGATCGCGCTGTCACGTGGTTTTCCCCACGGGTCGAAGCCCATCTCAGAGACGCAGTTTCGCGTGCTCTACCCCACTCCCGCCATCTCGCTCTAAGCTTCGGATCTTCTTAAAAAGATCCCACAAAATGGTGCGAGGACGCCCATCTGCAGCCTGCAAGCTGATCGCCTTCACAGCTTTGGGCCTGCCTCGCGAACGCTTCTTCGGCGCCGCCTTGGGAACAACAAGCTTCTCTGCCCCCACGTGTAGCTGCCATTGCCCCTTAGCAAGTTGCACCAACGCAGTGAAAAAGTCTTTCACCATTTCGCACTCATCAAGATCGGCTGTCTGGGCCTTCAAGGTCAAACGATCATCCAAAGTTCTTCGGTGGGGCTGCACCCCTTCAAGGCGCCCAGTCTCCACGAAGGCACACCAGTCTGCCCTGCTAATGACTGGGAGTCCACAAGCAGCGATCGTGCATGCAAGCCTGCAGAATTTTGACCTGAATCAGAGAAGCTGCAGGGGCCGGCAAAAACTTTCAAATGATCTTCCGCGACGTGTGTCTATCTTACAATCATGCAGCTTTCTCCGGCCGCCAGGGCAGAGAGTGCACAACCTAACAGGAAATTACCTTTACTTGTATATGGCCCCCTCTCTCCTATGGAACCACAACGACAAAGAAGTGGGTGGTGGGCTGGAGCTCAAGAATGCAAACACGCCAGCCGCTGTGGCACAAGCCGAGGAAGCCACTGTTACACAACCAAGGAATGGCATGCCACATGACGAGGTCAAGGCACATGACCAAAATGCAAAATCTCCAACATAATTTGCGTGTTCAGAATCAGCCGTCAGTTCTCAATACATGGCCGCGCCAAAACTGTGCTGGAGTCAAATGGACATGCAATGACAAAGACGAACCAAAAGCTGAGATCCTGGCTCACCTGCATGCTCGGAAGCCAAGACATGAACCGAATCCAGGACAACTAAATGGGCTTGGAGGCTGAAGGCGAAAAATCCACTCTCGTCCAACCGACGGACACGCAAGTCTCTGTCATCGCCCAGAACTGCACTTGATGAAGGAATGCTGGTTGCGCAAGCATCAACAATCTTCCATCGTTTCCTCTGCAAGAGCTGCTCGGTGATCGGAATGAACACGCGAGGCCGACGAGTGAAGACACTTCCACGCGCCAAGGTCGGAGAACCAAACGGGTTGCCTTGCGGATTGTCAACCCGCCTCTTGTTCACCTCCAAATTGTTCTTGCGGATGGCTAGCGTTCTCAGCTGAAACCTCTTGAGGCCCTTCGAAGTCATGGGCCCCGGCCGAAGGAGTTTTCGGGCCTGGCCGCGGTCCAAGTGTGGAAGGATTGTCGCTTGCTCAGGCTTAGAACTCTCTGCGGCCGTGTCTCCGAGGTGCCTCAACGCTTGCAGCTGTCGTCTCGGCTTTGCTGCCGCAGCAAGCATTTGGGCTTCTCAGGCCCGAGTCTTTTCGTGTAGCACCGAAAGCGTGCACCATGCCTGCCCCGCCATTCCACCAGAAATTCACGAGACAGGTCAGTTAAGTGGAGCACGGACTCAGCAGACTGCTGTGCGATCTCTGAAGGTGAGGCAGGGCCATCAAGCTTCAGCATCAAAAGGTCCGAATAGGTGGCACCGGTTTCCTCCAGTGGGCCTGCGTGGTTCGATAAGATTTTCTTCCCAATCGCATGCCCTCGCTCAACGTTTCCAGTGCCGTCCTCGACGCTGAGGTAGAAGGAGATGAGTGAATGCCACAACTTGCTGCCTCGACAACTGAGCCTTTCCTGCGCCCATGCATTGCGATTGTCCTCATGCTAGGTGGACACCAATCTGTGCAGAGAGCTCACGAACTCTCGCCTGGCTGCAAGCGAGTCTTAAACTTCAGAAGCTGCATCACCTGCTTCTCCGTTGTGGCAAGGTCTGTCATGGAGGGAAGCAGCTTTCCAGTGAAGACGACGGAAACTCAGCTTGCAATCGGCTAATCATCAACGTCGTGACTGTGGCAATCCCTTGCAAGGCCTGTGCGTAATCCCGCTGCGAGGAAGAAGGATCCCACAAGTGGTGCACTCTGTCCTCCAGGCACTGAGGGAGTTGATTGCAATCAAAGGTCAAAGGACTCAAAGGAAAGCCAGCTATGCCAGCTGTTACGTTTTATTGTTGGTTGAAAGGGCACACCGGAAGGCCTTCTGAACAGCCGCCCACTACTATATAGAAGCTGAGATACACACTTGGGAAAAAGGTGCATGTTTTTCGAAGGCTCTCTCCGGGCGTCCAAATGTTCTCTAATTGAACTTCGGCAACGAGGCTTTCTGGACTCAAAACCATAAGTTCTAGAGATGCTGTGCTGGGACAAGAATGATTGTGGAGGCTCAGCATGGGTCGGGAAATTGCTGCGCTGGCGAATTGTTCAAAAATCATGCCCTCCCACCTTTCAATCCCTACGTTAACCCTTGCAACTCTTCCCGTCTTAGATACTTGGCAATGACAACTTCGTATGGGTTGGATACTGGGTTGAGTCACTTTGCAAAGGACATAATCACGCCAGTCCTTGTAATAGATTGGTCCTGCTTGCATGGCTTCTTTCACAACAAAGTGCGTCATGGTCTCTGCCTCTGTATTTGCGCCATCCAAGTCCAGAATTCGGCCTTCAAGAAACAGCTGCTTCAGCCTTGCAGGACGGGTTGCAAAGCTGCGGACCATGGACCGAACATTTCATTGTAAGCCCTAAGCCGTGGTTTGCAAAGGGAACGCAATCTATGTATACATACATACGACAAAGAGGCGACCAGGTGACCGCTCCTGGTGCAAAAGCGATGCACTTGTTGCTTTGTCAAAGCAGGGTCATGCCACCCCTCATCAAAGTGCCAAAGGAAAATGGCAACCTCTGTCGACAGGTCCGTATACAAGCCTAAAGTCACGCTGAACTGCGTGCTCAATGCCCGCAAAGATGCTTCGGACGAGTCCCTAACTTTCACGCTCAGGCGATCATCAGCTGCTTGAGCAGCAAGAAGGAGAGCTATGGGGACTAGCATCTGGCACATTTTCCTGCAGAGTAAATCCGAAGAAGAAACATAGACATTAGAATTGAAACAATTGAATCTGCCAATAGCCCTACAAAAGGGCGTGCATTGAAAGTCAATAACCACGCAGCAGTATAGTCAAATTTGAAGTGCGAAACCTGTCCTGCTGGGGTCGCTCTCTGAATCAATTCTAATAGGAGACCAGCTCATGCTTCGGAACACTTTCTCGTTCGGGGAAACAGATGCTTGGATTGCACGGAGACGCGACTTCCACTCGCAGCTATTCTTCAAATCTGGGACTATGCCATGGCGTCCGAAAAGGCGAGAACGCATCTGCGATATGCACGCTTCTTCCGAACATGGCCGTTCCAGCGCTATCCTGCTTGCCAAAAACACGTTCGCCAGTAGCAGCCATCTTGCAACAGGTCTGGACTGGGGGGGAGGTGGAGGAGGGATTCCGGTTGGTTCAGCTCTATCTTCCACCTCCAAGCATCGTAGAAGTAGATTTTGTGTAGTGATTCAAAGTGATACTCCTTGGCTTTGTTGGCAGCATCGTCAGCTTGCCCTGGAGTGTAGCGGCTGTTACTGCCAGCACAGAACCTGTCACCCCCTTTGCGAGCTGCATGCAGGAGCCGAGATTCCGAGAGCAAGCGCAGTGGTCTTCCTTGAACGCCACATCTTTGAGCCCCAGGCTATCGAGCATAGCATGTCAACTCAACCCACAAGCAACTTGTCCTCCGGGGACCCATTGTTGGCTATACTCACTTGACACACTGGTGTCTCTCAAGTGCATTGCAAGTGCATTGCAAGTACACAATTTGTCCTCGCCTCCAACCAATGGATGAAGATCTGGACTTGCCTCCTGTCTCTGTTCGAGATAGTTTCGATATCTTCGAAATCTATTGAAAGTGCCAAGAACCAAGCACAAACTAAGCAAGTCCGAATCAGCCTGTTGATGGACAAGATGTACTGAGAGTGGAGCTGAATTCATTGCCCCTGTCTCACCTTTTCTCATACGGCTACCATGGCCACACGAGTTGCGCAACAGGTTGCTTCCCCCCTCTTTTGTTTTGCGTTTTGGGGTTGTTGGGTGCTGGTTTGCTTTGGCTGGTTTGCAACCTGTATAGTAACTCCCACTTAACTCGACCAAGGTGACTTGTGTAGAACCTGCACACATAGCGCCTCGACTCGTGCAAGTCTGTACACGCGAGGTTGACTCCGACCAATTGCTTGCAGTTTTCACAGGCCCTCGGGCCTATGTTGCGAAAATCGCCTGGGAGACAAAGGCTTTCAATGCCTGCTCCGCAGAAGCTGCCATCCGGCAGTGTACGAGGCTTGTTGGTGTGGTCCCATGGGGAAGGTGACAGATGTGAGCGTGAGACAGCTTTCGAAGGCATAGCGGCCCAGCTGCGCGCGAGAACATTAGTGGCCTCATCTGTGAGGTTGGTGCACCGCTTTCGAAATCTGTCGACTGTTGCACTCTTGGTGCGAGTATGATTGTGGGTGCTTGTAAGCACCGTACGGCCCCAGCCCCTCCCACAAA